ACCCCAGACGGAAGCACACAGAGATGAAAGAAGGAGCAGACTACACTGCAAAGGGCAAATTTTAAAAACTATTTACTGCTTAAAGCAACAATATAACAACAGTTTAGATGTTTATGAAATACATAAGAATAAGATCTATGACAAAACAGCAAAAATGGCACGGAAGGGGTTAATTAAATGTTACTCAAAATCATTACATGTTACAGAAGTGCAAACCGAAACCGTGAGAAACTATTGCACGACCATCAGAATGGCTAAAATTCAGAAGGCTGACAATATCAGTGTTGAAGTAGCAGAACTCTTCTGCATTACTGATGGCAGTGTAAATTAGTCCAACCATTATTTGGCAGTATCTATTAAAGCTAAATTAGAACCTATCCTGCATTCAGCAATTTTACTCCTGGGTAAATACTCAGGGGGAAATGTGTAAAAATTCATTAAGCTATACACTGAAGGCTTGTGTATTTCACAGCATATAAGCTATATCTCAATTAAGAAAAACTAAGATCACATATGTAAAAAAGAAAAAGAATTATAAGAAATTAATAAAATTATAACAACCCAAGAGAATTAGGCAAAGAATATGAAAGTAGAGAAAAACAAATGGCTTATAAACAGGAAAACAGGCTCAACTTCATTCATCAAGATGAAATTAAAATATCAAAAAGATACTTCAGGCAATTTGAGTTGATTTCTTACACTTGTAACCAAGATTCCTGACAAGTAGATTTGTAAAAGTATGCCAAGACCATTATGTACAAGAATGCTCACTTGAGTATTGCCCATAATAATAAAAGATTGGAAACAAATTAAATGTTCACCAGCTGTAAACTGTTAACATAAATCATTGTACTTTGATACAATGGAACACTATGAAACCATTACAAATAACGAAACAGATATATATGGGTTTATATGGGAATATCATCAAGACATATTAAGGGAAAAGGGTAACTTTATGACAGCAAGTGGAATACAATCCCAACAATATAAATTTTTCAAGAGATATGTGATATTGTAATAACAGGTTATTCTGGGGAATAGGAACTGAGGGCCGGGAGGGGAGAGACATTTAGCCTTTTTATCTGATATTTCTTTGTACTCTTTGAAATTTTTCCTGTACATATTTGTTCTATTTACAATTTAAAATTAGAAAGCAAGAAAGACAATGTGTCTGAATACTAGCCCAAATAGTGGCTAAAAACTCAAATTGCTAGAAACCTAAATGACAAAACAAATGTTCACAGATCACTAAATCAAGATTTCTTAAGGAAGTAAAGAATAAAACTAAAGAGCTCCTGATGTTTAAAATGAGTAATTTTTCATCATAAGTGGCTATAATGCCAGAAAAATTTGGTGTGGGGTGATGCATTGAGTAGATACCCTAGACAGTAATGATAAAGGGACATACTTGCATCTAAAATGTTTTCAAACCTCTTTTAAAGGCAAGGTATTATGTAAGTATTTTGAAGATATATTATCTCTTTTTTAAATTTTTTATTTACTTATTCGACAGAGAGAGAGAGAGAGCACAAGCAAGGAGAGGGAGAAACAGGCTCCCTGTAAAGGCTAACAATGTATAAAAATTTTATATTAACTATTTATATAAACTACAAAGATTATTTCTTTGTATTTTCAAATCTTTGCTGAAACTAATCATATAATAGATAAAATAATTCTAAAATAACTTAAATTCATAGTAACTCTATTTGGACATACAATTTCTCAAAATTCTGACATTGCTCATGATTTATGATGTTAAAAACATGAAAATATTCACAGTCATAATTTACTTTCCTTCTTTATGACTTTAGGGACATAAAGGAGAATTAGAATAATTACATTTTATAAAACAATTGGTGATCATATCTCAGCACTTGTGTTTATAACATTTATTAATGTACCAATTGTGGCTAAAGAGAAAGTGTTCACCGCATGCCAAGTATTTAATGACAAGTTTTAAAAGTACAGTATCTGCAATCTAGGTATTTCACTACAAAATTAGATAATTTTCCAAATTCTTTCTCAGTTCTAAGGTTTTTGAATGAACATTATTTAAAATATGCCATCAAAGATCCTCACAAAATTGAACTTAATACCAAACATCCTAAGTATAATTTTGAAAAATAGATATCTTCAGCAGCTTTCCTAAGTATAATTTTGAAAAATAGATATCTTCAGCAGCTTTCCAAAATAAATACTGAGTGATAAACTTTGTATAAAAATAATTTGTTCAATATAAGAACCCATGAAAACCATTTCTTGATGCTCATACAAATACATGGAATAATATCTCAGTTCTAATCCAGACCTTTGAATTCTCAACTGCTCCCCCCACACTGTGATTCAGTGCAGGAGTGCTTTACCATTTTAAATTAGTTGTTCAAGAAAAAATAAAACTAGTGACTTCTCTAGTTTCCTCTTGTAAATGTTTCTTCACTTTTTTTTTTTTCCTGGTAACTGTGTTTACATTTTTTCCCCCTCAAATGCAGCTTCTTTTCATCATAGTAGAGTGGACCATTTTAATTTTGTGTTTTAAATTTGAGAACGTGTTTTCTCAATAATAAATCGCTTGGAAAAGTCCGTAACTATCAAGATGACCCTTAAAAGTGGAACAAATGTCTTTTAAAAGGTACAGGAAAGAATTTGGAAAGAGGTCTCTTTCCATCCACGTCTAGGTGACATACGGCTGCAGCATGTCCTGATCCATTCAGCATGTTGTCCAACTCCAGGTAAGCCCCGTAGGCACAGCTCTTATGGCCTAGCCTGGATCCCGAGCCAACCAAAGTAGCTTTGGAATCTGGTATCAATTTGTGGAGGAAGTTTATCTCCTCTTAGCTTTTGAGTCATCAAGATGAATATTCCTAAGGGAATGAGACCATATGTTTGATATTTGGAAAGAGGGAGTTGGCTTTATTGGAAAGGGATGAGAGAAGGTAGCAGCTCATGGCGTCATCAAACCTTATTCTAGGTGAGGATCACCCTCTGATTTACGAATTTAATCCAAGTCTTCTTACTATTTGAGACTAGGTTTAAAAATAGAAGAATATCTGCTCCCATTCTTCTTGTCCATATGTAGCTCATCCCCAAATGTGAATACAGGCTCCAACAGGAGGCCTCTGCTGTTACTGATAAGCACACCTTGACTTGTTTTCTTCGTCTTTGTTCTTGGGGGTTTAACCTAGGAAACATATCATTTCATTAACCCTGACAAATGATTTACCTTCAGACAAACTGTTGAAACTTGCAGCCCTAGCTCAAATTAGTAACTTCTGAGCTTCTTTTCATTAAGTTCAGATTTAGAGAGACTGATTAGTAACTTGTATTTCAATTCAAGGCCTTCAATGAAATACTAAAAATTCCAGATTTATCCTAAGTTAAAAGTCCAAACCCATATTTCAGCTCTTCTCTTCCTTAACATTTTTTTAAAGAATCTTTGGGAAGAAATGGAGAATACCTGACTCTCCTGAAGTACAAAAATTCTAAATTTTGCCTAAATTTTTTATGAAAACACACTATTTAATGACAGATAATTTTCATAAAGACCCAATAATACATAGTAATGTATATAGTGAAACAAACTTTCAAAAGTGAAAATCAGAGCCCTAACACATGGACCATAGAAAAGAACTAAATCTATATATACCAGTAGGCCAAACCGTACCATTTTAGCCCTCTCCGTGAAAGAAACTCCCTTGGCATAGCAATATTTGAGATGTTTTCATTTGTTTTTACGAACTGAACCTGAACCAGGATGATATTCATGATCTCAAGTTAATGTGCTGTGACTGAATTCCTTTCACACAGACCTACAGCACAACAGTGGTCCTGGGACTTTGAATTCACTACCGTGTATGCATAGCACGAAACCTTGGGCTGATTGGAACATCTATCAGTTTATCTTCCCCACAGTTATGGGTCTCAGACCACAAGAAAATGTTGTGTCTCAGGGGACATGCTCAGTGTTTAATCTCTGAGTGCAGAGATTGGAGCAAATGTAATTTTTCTGTCTCTCCTATACCATACCCTCAATTAAATGTCTATATTCTATGAGCAGCATTCAAAATAATGGTCAATTTTACCAGAACTTCCATACATGCAATAATTTCCTTCTGTTTCTGAATCTGTAAACCACTTAAAACATCAGTGAAGAAAAAATATTCTCTCGATTTATCTTTGTATGGAACTAAGGCTTTCATTCCACACTAATTATTCAGTGAGTTGATATGAGCCCTCTGCCTTTCTCTGGTGAGAGTCTTCAGCTGAGCATGTGAGATCCTGAGCTAGCTCAACGATGCTTATGGTAGGAAACAGCTTTATTGCTTTCTAATTGGCAAATGATCATGAAGTGTAAAAAAATACCTGTTGGTTGGGGTCTGAGATCTTTGTCATTGTCTAGAAATGCTCATTTCATAGGGCCTCAACTAGCATAGAGATGGAGAGCAGGATTTTCTTTAGGGTAACAGTAAAATCAGCAGGATTCTCTCTCAGTATAAGTATGAAACTGGTGATGTTTAGCAACCCGATAGGCATATTTTTGAGGCCTGAAGTATTTGTTTTGATCATACCAATCATCTTGAAATTCTTAATTATTGCCATTCAACATCTATCTCTGCAGGTTTCTTAATTTAGTTTGTTGCTCAATATGCTGTCTTTGAGTTTTGTTGCCATACCAGAAACTGAAACCAACAATAAATATTAAAGTTTTTAAGGGCAAAAACAACATCTGTGTAACTGTCACTTAATTTTCATCCAGCATTGTATTTCCACTTAATATTTTATTTAATTACAGCTCATTTTTTTTTTTTTAATGAATGGCAATTTTAAGGTATAGGTTTCAAACATAATCATTAGCATTAAAAGATCTGGGTTTAAATCTGAATCCTGGTTCCATCACCCACTAACTCTGTGACCTTGGGAAAATTATTTAATCTTCTAATCTTTAAAATGGGTGTTACAGGAGTACATGTCTCATATAATTAATTTAATAATTAATTGAGTTAAAGTATGGCAAGATTTAATACAGTGGTTGGTTATATGACAGAGAATGCTCAGTAAGTGAGAAAAAAAAAATAGCATACAAGCAAATGGGAATCAGGGAAGACAGTGATTCCAGAATGAGATACAGTAACGTTTGGCAATCTAACTGTATCAGAAGTGACCATTGTGACATCTTTTATAGAGAAGAGTTAAGACAGACATTATGTCTTCAAAAGTGCTTTTGTTGTCATCAAAGTATTGGTTGTGGGTATTGCCATTCTAATAGATAGTTTCATTCAATGGTACATATCTTAGATTTGATACATAAAGATTGGCTTACTTGTCAGTCTTCAGAAGTATATCCCCTAGGCCAGAGCTAAATCTTTTATTTCTCTGCAACATTTAGTGGAGTACCTACCACAGAGTAAATCCTGGGGACAAGTAAATTGCAAAATCTTAAAATCACACAGACAAGTAGCACAAAATACAAATACATCACATACTTTAAAAATGTACGAGGATGCCTCTTAGGTATAAACGGGTGTATGTGCAAATCAGTGGAAAACAAAGACAACTCAAGGCAAAACAACCACACCCTTGAAGCAAGTTACATCTCACAAGTATCAGTTTGAAGTCTTCTTTCAAACTTAGGTGTAACTGAGAAGATTAGCTCTTTCTACACAGGTCTAATGTTCCCAAAAGATGGTATTTGTTGGGCTTGTTTCCAGCTAGAAACAAGCCATTGGAGACCTCCCCAGTGGAGCTTGTTAATGGAATCATTAGAAGAGTCAGTCTACATTGCCAGGCTCTTAAAGGCTTTCTCACATTTTTTGTCTACCTTACTGAGTGAGGACAGATACCACTGATTTGGGGACAATCAATCATTTCCAATTTTGACAGTTTTCTTTCCTCTCCCATATCCACAACCATAGTGACATATATTACACTTCACATGATTCATTCTAACATAAATCTGAGAAGATTCTTGAATGAAATTAGACAGTTAAGTCACACATTTTGTTTTCCATTATCTTCTGAGTCTGAGTGGGACAAATCTGAAATTGAGGCATGTAAGATACAAAAGTCTTCTGACCAGAAGTTCCTAAATTGAAGTTATTTTCTACAAGGTGTGAGCAACTGTCCTGGAGGATTCTGATGTCAGTGAATAAACAGTGGGCTGGGAATGGACACAGCACTTGGGACTCATCAGTCAAAAACACACCACTCTCTCTTTTTTTGATTGAGGTGACCCTTAAATAATAGACAGACCTTTCACCATTATTTTCTTCAGGGAAATTTCCCTCAAGTTTCAAAAGTTCATCCAATCCTTCTGAGAATGGAAGGTGTGGTGAAATTATATCGGGATGCTGATCTGATAATATAAAAAATGCCTGGGTTTCTATCTCCCATGAGCTGTTAGAAAAAGAACCCTTTGGTAGAGAATTTTTGCTAGAGAAGCATTTGCTGACTGAGCTGTTTATAAGCCCTTGCTCTTCATCAATTTCACTTGATTTAGAGCTGCCAAGGAGGGTGGCATATCTAACAGAGGGCGGCCTCCTGCTTTCGTCCTCATGGGCTATCACAGTGCTCTCCAGCTCAGAGAAGTTAGCACTGGTGTGCTGGTCACGGATACAAACAGAACCCTCTTCAAGATCCGGAGCTGTCAAAAGCAGAGAGACCATAGCTCTTGGTACCACCTCATCTTTATTCTTCCATGATGTGTCAACACTGATATCTTCTGAAATGGTTTCAGGCTCCAAAAGAAGAGGACCAAATATCACTGATTCTGTATGCTTGATAAAAAGATGCTCAAATGTTTCTGGCTAAAAGAAAAGACACATTTTAATGCTCAATTGTATTAATTTTTTTTTTTTTCTTCACTATGACATCATTGCAGAAATGAAAGTGTGAAAGGTTACTACTAAAGGACATAAGTCAACCACAAATTAACTGGGGTTTGGTTTTTTTTTTTTTTGGACTGAAAATGGATATGTCAAAAATCATAAGGGAGAGGCGGAAGAAGATGGTGTTTAAAAGTGGGATGAGACAAACTTTGGTTTGAGCCCTTTTATGACCATGGACAAGTACATTAACCTCTTTGCCTTTTAGCCTCTTCACCTGTAAAAATGTGTTCAATATTTACTTCCTGGCATTGTGGTGAGGAATAAATTAGAGAGTGTCTGAAAGTGCTTAGCTCTCAATAAAGATTGGTTATTGTAATTAAAAAGGGCTGTATTCTGAAGAATTCCTAATATTTTACAGCAAATTAGATTTCCACAAACTGAAAATTTCAACCTCAAATTAAAAAAAGGAACTGAAATAAAATCAAATGAGCAAACCAACTAGTCCAAAGACAGTTAAAATAACTACTCCATGACATAAGATATGGTATGAGGGTAAGCTATTTGTGACTGTTAAGACTTATCTGCCTTACATCATACTGAAAATCTGTTTAAGACTACCAGAAGGGAAGAACTAATACCAATTTGTTGAAAACAATGATGGTGAAAGACATGATCACAGACTCTTAAATTGCTATTCCTTTTAAATAACTTCATCTAAAAACACATAGTATGGAACATGCGGAATGAAGACAAAGACGCAAAACAAATGCACATCGTATCTTTTATAAGAATGCTGGTTACATCACAATAAAAAATCCTGCCACGCAGCTACAAATCAAGAATCTGTGTGTAAAAAGCTCAACTCATACAATGTAAACATATTGAAAAAATAAATGCAAAATAAAGAATACCGTGGACACATCACACTGAAAAATTAACGCAACTAAATGAAGTGCTACTGAAAATGTGTTCAATTCGTAAGACATACATATGGTTGAACTTTTGAACTTTACAGTTTTTAAACCACTAGAATGAATTCAAATTTATTGCCTGAAATAACAATTTACTCAACTATTCTTCATAATGGCAAATATATTCCATGTAAAAACATAATTCATTAGCATAGTTTTAAACTCTTAAATGAAACATATTGGTGATTATAACTATAAAAGAATAAATATACCAAACACTAAATATAATAAAAATGGAATAGACTTATATAGATATTATATCAATGCATAATGACAAATACCATGTTAACACAACCTTTTCTGTTATTCTATGAACATATATATGAAAACTTCCTATGCCTTTTCTCTTTGTGACAGAAATCTATCATTAGATTTATTACTTCCTTCAAATATTTACTTGCTCATTTTGCTTTTTCTTAAACTTACTACTGTATGTGTCTTGAACTTCTTAAAATTTAAATGAACCTAGAAGTTAAGATCACCAAATAAAGGCAATACATGCTATTGATATGAAAACAAAAAATACACACAAATAGCCAAAAGCACACAGTCAAACTCACATATGCTCTTCAGATGATGTCTTTAAATATGGCATGCCCTCTAAAACTTTATAATCGGTAACTAATTATTGATACTGAATAATGTCCATGTCTTCAAATGCATTCAGATGGAAGATTTCACTGATAATTAATAAGAAATCACATACTCATATATTATTGAAATGTATTTTATCAGTGGGTCATAAACTTTTATTAAAAGTATGTTCATTAAAAAAATCATTTCAGTCATTATATGCATCTAATTTTTCAGGATTTTAGAACGGTTTGGGAACATATTAAATATGTATTCAGCTGGTAAGAAATAAAGAATATCCTTTCATAATCTCACACTTAGATTTTACATTCCAATGGTATCTATTAAAAGTCAATGAAGGGGAGAAAAGGACACATTCTTCCTCATTTTTAGTGTTGTTTTCATAGCCAAATAAAACTATGAATGAAATCTAAATGTAAGCGATCAATATATACCCTAAATTTGCAATATTATTTAGGTTCATCAAACAGAAGCTTTGGTTTATTTTGAATGTGAACAACATAACACACTTACTATGCTGATGTCATAGAAATAGTAAGGGTCTTTTTTCAGGAAGAAGTGTCTTGTCTTTGCCATGAACTATTTGTAAAAGCTCCCTTTTTGCATTGCTGTGTACTTCTCTGCCTGCCAGAAGCTTTGGGCGGTTCGGAGTAAATAAATTAGATTTAGGGAAGAATTTCACAAAGAGGCTGAATTGGAGGCGGATGTGTTTTCTGATCTGGTCAATCTGACCTGAAAAGTCAGGTCATCCTGATATGAACTATAACTTCCCCTGGCCTGTGACCAGCACACACCCAAACTTCTGGCTTTTCCTGAACTGAAATGGAAGTCAGTGCCTAAGCCATTTGCAAGACTACTGAGGATGGGAATTCCCAGATTGACCAAAGTTAGACAGACGTAAAAACTACAAGACAGTCAAAAGAACACCCACATGGGTCCGTTTATAAGCTCAGGTGTCTACAAAAGAATACAAAATGGAAAACTTTGGACATAAAAATATAAACTAAATAGTTTCACTGTATCTTGTAATTAGATTCATTATGTTTGCAAAGTTATGTGTCAGAAGCTACAGGTTTTTACCTACTTATGGCATTGCCTACTACAGACCTGATGATACTGAATAGATATGTGATAAGAACTGTCATAGTTTTTAATGTTTTATGACCACACAAATGATAAATCAAAAGCCAGATAGCATGAATATTATTTTTTAAACTTTAGGTGACCTAAAAAGTAATCATACATTCAAACTGAATTCGACTGAGCCCTATCTCTTGACCTCAAATTTACCCTTCTATTGTAAGTTCTAAATCAACATCATCCACCATATTTTAGTTCTCAATAGTTCAACCAAATATTTTTTAGATTTGTCTCCCCTTCTTCAAAATGTAAAAATCTTCTAATACTCTACAGAATGTTGGGAAGGTGGTACATTGTGTTCATCTGTAGTGATCATGATTAGACTTCAAAGAATGTCCATTCTCTGTTTAGATAAAATAAAACAAAATAAGAAAGCAAAATAAAAAATCACTCAAAAAGCAAAAGATAAAAGATTTCAAAAACATTTTCTGTCAGGCATGGCTTCCGGACTATGAATTCTTCTGTTAGACTAGAGTAATACATCTTTTTAGGAAAGAGTAAAATTTTGAACTGAGGTTGCCTCTTCTATTTTCATAAAGCATGCCTTAACATCACACTCTAGGAACAGTCTTGGTGACCCCAGACAAGGAAAAACTATAGAAGAATAACAGAATAAAGGAGAAAAAAAACCAAAGAGCTGGAAAAATAAAATGGAGGAAATGGAAGCAACAGAAGTATTGGAGAGCTTGGAACAAGAAAGAGTAAAAGAGTAGAGCAGTAAAACAAAAATTTAAAAATTAAGAGAAAGAAGAGCTGAAATAGTGAAGAATACAATGACAGATCATTATCATGATTTTTCTAATCTAGAAAAAAAATCTGAGAAACCATCTGGTCCATGTGCCTCCCTTTTTTAAAACAAAGCAATTGGGGCTTAAGGTTACAGAGCTAATTAGAGCAGAGTGAGGACCCTGACTTAGTTCTTTAATTTTTTCCAGTCCAAAGATCTTTCTATAAAACAATGGAAGGATGAAAAATATCCTAAATGCAAACTGGCAGGAAAACATGTTCTTTGTTTTGCTTTTTCTACTTGCTGTGATAGATTTCAGCTAATACATACTCTCTTCTGGTTCTTTATAACCCACGGGCATATCATAAATATTAAGAACATGAAGATAAACAAAACTGAAGTCCTCTTTTAGGGGACTGAGATACACACCTCTAAGCCCAATAATGTGCACTTCTACATAGAACTTTCAACTCAAAACTGCACCGGTTTTACCCACTTCTGCAAGACCATTCAAGCAATTTCAGGGGTGCTCTGCCTCAGATCTGTGAGACTGGTGTTCTGGGAACCTGCAGGTTGTTGAGCTGCTTTGGCAGACTGAGGAATCTTGGACAGTCTTTGAATCACAAGGCAAAAATCCATTTGGTTTTAGCTTTCACACCCCTAAGGTAGGTTAACTGGAGTATGGTCTTGTGAAAATGGACATCGATGTAGACAACAAAGAAGCGGGTTAGATCCCCCGCCATTCAAAAAAATTACAGATGATTTAGATTTAGAGGAAGAAAATAATAGATTAGGCAAAAATGCTAAAGAAAAAAGTAAAAAACCAAATTGGTGACAGTGTTTTAAGCACTGTGAAATTTGAATTAGAAGAAAAGCAAGTCTATTGTGTCACTACATTTTCCTGCAACGAGAATTCAACCTTTGTTTAAGATTCTGATTTCTATATTTATATTTATTTTATTTTTTGTTTTTTTAAGATTGTAATTTTTAAAGTATCAAGAGAAATGGTGTAGAGGGGTATTCCGGTTGAAGATGGCAGGTTGAACACGTTGCTCTCTCATCTTTGTAGAGACTCTATCAGAATGAAAGTACATAAATAACAAATATATACCCACAACACAGAAGATAATCTGAGAAAGCAAGAGGGAATAGGATTTTGAATTCATTTCTAAGACACGGAAAACAACTGGAAGAGTGTAGACCAAAGAGGATTAGCAAAAGAAGCTATAGACCAAAGTACCTCCAGAGTGGGCTGTGGTTGAAGAGAAAGCCTCTTTGCCCAGTTGAATACAGTAGACATGGCGAGTGAAGAAATGGCAGGTAAGAACACAGGAAGATAGGAGACCTGAGGCTGAAAACCAGAAACTATGCATGTGGAATGGGGCTCTTCCATTTCTCCGCTGTACACAGAAAATCCTTCATATTAGAACTACCTTCCACACCCAAATTGAGGTTTTGTTTTCAACATCAACTAAGGGAGTTACCAAGCAGCTATGGAGTATTAGCGCCTGTAAGTACATTTTTCCTCATCTAGCCAGAGCCCTATC